TGTCCCTTGTAAGGAACAAGGTGCGAGCCTGGGGAGAAGCAGTTAGATTGAAAAGCTACAACGGTTACCAGAGAGGGGGACCATCATTATTTAGAAATGGAAGTTCAACAACAACAACAACAACAACAACAACAACAACAACAACAACAACAACAACAACAATCATTTTAAGACTCTTCGCCCTTATCTGCTCAAGTGTCCAATAACGCGAATGTCCCAAACCCTCGATACCCGCCTTTTTCGTCTTCGATCGAACCCATTTTGGGGGGTATACCCTTCCCTGCAGGCCGGGCCCCGGCAAGCGGCAGCGCTGACCGGCTGGGCGGCCGCGGACCTTCGACCCGACCCCAAGAGGGACGGACAGGGGACCGACCACGGCGACGACGACGACGACGTCGACGACGACGACGGCGACGACGACTGCGGCGACGACGACGACGAGCGAAAGCGAGAGCGAGAGAGAACGACAGCAGGGGCACGAAGGACACGAAGTAGGCCACGAAGGGCGACAGCGGGGACACGAAGGGAATGCGTATGGGGCCACGAAGAGCGCGAACGAGCAGGGGCCACGAAGGGCAGATAATGCGGGGCCACAGAGGGCAAGGACGGGGCCACTGAGGGCAACAACTGGGCCACGTAGGACAGTGAGGGGGCCACGAAGGGCGAGAGCAGGGCCACGAAGGGCATGCACATGGGGCCACCACGGGCGCGAACGAGCGGGGGCCACGAAGGGCATACGTATATGGGCCGCGGAGGACAACGAGGGGACCACTGAGGGCAGCAACGGGGCCACGAAGGGCAGCGAGGGGGCCACGAACGGCGACACCGGGGCCACGAAGGGCATGCATATGGGGCCACCACGGGCGCGAACGAGCGGGGGCCACGAAGGGCAGCGAGGGGTCACGAAAGGCTGCAACGGGGCCACGAAGGGCTGCAACGGGGCCACGAAGGGCAGCGAAGGGGCCACGAAGGGCTGCAACGGGGCCACGAAGGGCTGCAACGGGGCCACGAAGGGCAGCGAAGGGGCCACGAAGGGCTGCAACGGGGCCACGAAGGGCTGCAACGGGGCCGCGAAGGGCTGCAACGGGGCCATCAAGGGCTGCAACGGGGCCACGAAACAAAGCGAGGGGGCCACGAAGGGCTGCAACGGGGCCACGAAGGGCTGCAACGGGGCCACGAAACAAAGCGAGGGGGCCACGAAGGGCTGCAAAGGGGCCACAAAGGGCAGCGAGATCCCGATTCCTAGGTAATCTGCGGGGGGGGTCCTCAGCGGGAGCGCGACTCCTGGGTGCCTGGGTGTCGGGAGCGCGGCACTCGAGCGAATGGCACGAAATTCCAACGCAAGGGCGCTATTCTTCAATAAATTGCAAGCAAGTCTCCAGCGAGAGCGCGATTCCAGAGCGCCGGGAGAACGATTTCTGAATAAATTGTAACTCCCAAGCGAGAGCGCGATTCCTGAATAAAATGCGAAGATGTCTCGGGCGGCAGCGGGGGTCCTGGCTAAAGCGCGCGGAGGTCTCAAGCGGGAGCCGTTGTTTTCGCAACCCAGGGGCCAGGGGCACAGTTTGAGCATCAAGACCTTCCCTGTCAAAAAACAGGGTGCGAGCGTCGAGGGGCACACTTCGATTAAGCAAAAATATGCACCAGCGAGGGGGGGTCAACAATAATGTTTCTTCCGAAATGAGAACTGAACAACAACAACAACAACAACAACAACAACAACAACAACAACAACAACAACAACAACAACAGCAACAGCAACAGCAGCAGCAGCAGAAGCAAGAACAACAAGAACAACAACAACAACAACAACAACAACAACAAAAAACAAAAAAAAAAAAAAAAAAAAAAAAAAAAAAAAAAAACATCAACAACAACAACAGCAACAACAATGACAACAACAACAACTACTACTACAACAACAACCAAAACAACAACAACAACAACAACAACAACAACAACAACAACAACAACAACAACAACAACAACAACAACAACAATTACAACAACAACAACAATCATTGTAAGACTGTTAGCCCTTATCTGCTCGAGTGTCGAATAACGCGAATGTCCCAAACCCGGCCCAGTTAGGTGACCCCAGATTTTCCCATGTAAAGAACAAGGTGCGAGCCCTGGGAGAAGCACTTCAGTTGAAAAAAAAATAGTCACCGAAGGGTTGGGGATCAACCAGAATTATTCTTCGGAAATGATAACCAATGACTTTAAGACTGGTCGCTCCTTGCTCGCGTGCCACTCAACACGTATACCCCAAACCCTCGGTACCCGCCCTCTTCGTCTTCGATCGTACACCCTTGGGGGTATGTCTTCCTTACCTGCCACGTGTTTTCCTGAGCGTGATTCCTGAGCGTCGAAAGCACGGCGTCTCAATAAAGTGCGAAGAAGTCCCACGCGAGAACACGATTCCATCATCAATTATGGAGAGATCCCGCGCGAGAGCAAGATTCTAACAAAAATTGTGAAGAAATCTCAGGCGGCGACGGCACGATTCCTCCATAAATTCTGAAAGACTTTCCGCGCTAGAGCGCGATTCTCAAATAAATAGTAAGGAAATATCAGGCGGCGGCGGCGACGACGACCACGACGAAGAAGACGCCGACGAAGACGACGACGACGCCGCCGCCGCCGCCGACGACGACGGCGACGGTCCAGGTCGTCGTGCACGACCACCCGCTCGTCGGGCCACACGAGGCGGATGGCCTCTCGCACCTCCCGCACGTGGACAAGAGGCGTATCGCCTGGCTCAGGAGGGGCCTCCCGCCCTCCCTTCTCCTTCCTCCTCGTCCTCATCCTCTCCTCCAGATCCATCGAGCATCCTCCTTCATCATGCCTCCCTCAACGGGGGCGAGGGCCTGCGGACCAGTTCTACAGCAATGACGACTGCAAGCCTTAAAGGGAAGCATGTTTGAGAATCATCAAAGACAGCACACTAATCCTGTTCCCTCCTCCTCCTACTCTCTCTCTCGTCCTTTGTCCTGTCTTGCCCCCCTCTGGTGCGTGGTGTTGGTCTCGACTCCAGGAGCGAGGGGCGGGAGAGGGGGTGGCGGGAACGGGAGACCGGCAGGATGAACTCAGAACTCGGGGATCCGCGAGACGACCTCAATTGGGAGCCATTCGTGGGCTTGCAGCACGAAAGGCAGCCTGCTGGGTGGGAACCAGGACTGGGACGCTTGATTCGCAGAAGGAGAATGTGGTGGAGGAGGAGGAGGAGGAGGAGGAGAAGAAGGATGGTGATGATTATGGTGATGATGATGATGAGGAGGAGGAGGAGGAGGAGGAGGCGGAGGAGGATGGGTAGGAGGAGGAGGAGGAGTAGGAAGAGGAGAGACGAGGGAATGATTCCTCCCTCTACCTTATCCGCCGACCCCCGCTTAGGGGTGAAAAGGCGTGTGGGACATTTGGCTGTCCCCCCTCCCGCTTTTCCCCTCCCTCCCCCAGGGTTCCAAATCCCGCTTAATGGGAGGGGTGGGGGGAGGGGGGGAGGGGGGAGGGGGGGAGGGGAGGGAGGGGGGGGGGGGGACGAGCTCATCAACGCACCCCCAGGGCCTCCAGAGCCTCCGACAGGCCCTGCGACTGTCCAAGAGAGCCCGAACAGAGCGCCAAGGCGCACCCAGCGCTCCCCGCGCACCTGGCGCTCCCAGCACACCCAGCACACCCGGCACACCCAACGAATCCAGCGCACCCGGCGAACCCAGGACACCTGGCACATCAAACGCATCCAGCACACCTGGCACACCCAGCGCACCCGGCGCACCTTGCATGCCCAGCACACCCAGGGCACCCAGCACACCTGGCACACCCGGCGCGCCCGGTGCACCCGGCGCACCCAATGCACACCCAGCACACCCAGCGCACTCGGCACGTCCGGCGCACCCGGCACACCCAGCGTACCAGGCACACCCAGCACACCCACACCCAGCACACCCAGCGCATCGGGCACACCCCACACACCCAATGCACAAGGTGCACCATGCATACCGGGCACACCCGGCGCACCAGGCGCACCTGGCGCAAACGGCACACACACACACACACACACACACACACACCGCGCACCCAGCACACCCGGCATACCCGGCGCACCCGGCGCACTTTGCGCACCCGGCACACCAGGCACACCCGGCACACCCAGCACACCCGGCACACCCAGCACACACGCCACACCTGGCGCACCCAGTGCACCGTGCATACCAGGCGCACCCGGTGCACCCCGCACATCCAGCACACCCGGCACACCCAGCAAGCCTGGAATATTTGGCGTTCTGGTCTCACCCAGCACACCCGACACACCTGGCACCCACACCCAGCGCACGCAGCACACATGGCACACCTGGCACGCCCAAGGCATACAACTGGCGCGCACGCCTAGTGCGCCAGGCGCACACCCCACACACGGCACACACGGCACACACACACACACAAACACAGCGCACTTGGCGAACCCGGCACACCCGGCGCACCCGGCCGACCTTGAACACTAGGGCGCGACGGGCGCGACTTGGCGCACCTGGCGCCACTGCGCACACGGCGCAACCAGCGCACCAGACACCAGACGCACACGGCGCACCCAGCGCACCAGGCGCGCCGCGTGCGTCTGGTGCGCACCGGGCGCACTTGGCACACCAGACGCATACAGCACACCACGCACACCCAGCGCACCTGGCGCACCCGGCACACCTTGCATGCCCAGCACACCCAGCGCACCCAATGCACCCAGCACAACCGGCGCACCCGGCGCACTTGGCGCACACGAAAAACCTAACACACCCGGCGCACCCAGCACACCCGGCGCGCCGGACGCACCTGGCACACCCGGCACACCCCGCACACCCAGCACACCCAGCACGCCCACCACCTCAGTGCACTGTGCATAACAGGCACACGTGGCGCCCCAGGCACACCCAGCACACCTGGCACACCCAGCAACCCTGGCTCATTTGGCGCACCGAGCTCACCCAGCACACCCAGCACACCCAGCGCACCCGCCACACCCGGCGCACCTGGCACACATGGCGCATCCAGCACGCCCAGTGCGTACACCTGGCGGGCACGCCTGGCGCGCCAGGTACGCACCTCGCACACGGCGCCCCTGGCACACAGTGCACCTGGCGCACCTGGCACACCCAGTGCACCTGGCCCACCTGGAAAACTGGGGCGCGACGGGCGCAACCTGGCCCACCAGGCGCCACTGCGCACCTGACGCAACCAGCGCACCAAACGCAGTGTTTGGATGGCCGCGGCGGTTGCTAAGGGGTTGGCGTGGTTGCTAAGTACGATGGAAGTAATAAGTTGCATCAGTAGGTTATGAGCAAGCGAATGAGCGCCAATTGTTTAGTAGGAGATACTCGCCAGATAGATGTGGTTGCTAACGTTGCTAAGTTTCTAATAGTTGCTTGTTCTATGAATCCACGCTCTAATAGCGGCCACCTAGGATTTAACGGTAGCGAACTCACTACTGGTTAGCTTACTCGTTCGCATGCAACGCCACCAATTGAGATCACTCAAAACAATATTTCTTCTCCTCATCGTCCTTACGCCCCCCTTTTCCCCCCCCTCCCCCCTCTACTTCCCAACGTTCTGCCACCGCGCGCGCTGCAGCGCGCGCGTGCCCCCCGCGCGCGCCCGGCGACGACGGCGCCGACGACGATAGATGACGACGAAAATGACGGCGACGACGATGCGATAATGATGATGACAATGATGCCGATGATGATCCTGATGATCCTGCTGCTAATGATGATGATGATGATGATGATGACTATGATGATGCTGATGCTGATGATGATGATGATGATGATGGTGATGATGATGATGATGATGATGATGATGATGATGATGATGATGATGATGATGATGATGATGATGATGATGATGATGATGATGATGATGATGATGCGATGACCACGCCGCCGCCGCGCTGCAGCGTCGCCGCGCGCCCCCGCGCTGAGCGCCACCCCGCCGCGGCGGCCCCGCGGGTCCCTCGGGGGCGCTCATGCCCCCAAGGGCCCTCGACTGGGCGGCAGCCGCCAGGGCGGCGAATGTGGTCTATACCGCAGGCGCCCTCTGGCGGCGGCGGCGACCCCCCATCTCTCGGGGCGGAGTCCTATCATGCATACGCACCTCCTGCGCGGCGCAGCGGCTGCCTCGTTCGCCCGCCGCGAGCACCGCGGGCGCATCGCGGCGGGAACACCCCCCCGCCCGCCCAGCCTCTTCCCGTTCCGGGAAAAGGCGGAGGTGGCAGCGGCGCTCTCCCAGATCTGGGCGGGGGAGCGCGGGGCTGGAGGATGGCGCTTGCCAACGTCGCGCGCGCGAAGCATCATGGCGCGTCGCGGCGGCCCCCCAGGCGCAACGCCGTCGCCGCTGCCCTCGCCGCCGCCGCGCAGCGGCGCCTCCCGCTTTCCCGCCGCCGATGGTGATGATGAGGAAAATTGCGGCGATGACCACGGCGTGGACTGCAACGGCGACGGCGGCGACGACGATGAGGCTGGCGCCGCAGCTCCCGCGCACGGTTTCAGAGGGAGCGCCGACGAGGAGAGGGAGTTGGAGCGGAAAAGGCCGGGGGGGCGCGAGAAGGAGGAGCCGGGGGGGCCGGCGACAGCGACGCGGGGCCACACCGACGCCAAAACCAAATGGCGCTGCATCGCCGAGGACATGAGATGATGATGACGAGGGAGGCGACGGCGACGACGTCGAGGGGTGGTCATGGGGGCTGCAAATGGCGACGGCGGCGATGATGAGTAGGCACTTTACAGCACAATGCCGCTGCAGCGCCCAGAACGAGGAGAGGGGGAGAGGAGACGGCCAGGACGAGAAAGGGGAGGAGGAGGAGGAGGAGGAGGAGGAGGAGGAGGAGGAGGCGAACGCAACACCCAGAACGAAACAGCGCTGCAGCGCCGAAGAAATGGCAATGCACAATCGCGCTGCAGCGCCAGCTTCCGATTGAAGCCATGCTTTCGGCTAGCAAGCGCGCCCCACCGCGGCTGCGCCCACATCGGGCGCAACACCCGAGCATCGCCCCCCTCGCGCGGCGCCCACGTGAGCGAGCACGCGATGGACGAAGTGCGCACCCAGAGGGCGCCCCCGGAGCTACCCGCCACGCGCGTCGAGCATCTTGGGCTCGAGGGACATTTGAAGAAGCATGACTGCACGAAGCTCACGCCATCGCATAGGCAGTCTCGAGTGAAGCAGATGTGCTTCAGCACCTCGGCAACCACGCGCTCGCCCCCATGCATCTTCTAAAAGAACAAGGCCGCCGTACTTCACGCCATGGCATTGGCAACGCGCTGCAGCTGATGCGAAAAGACCCGGTTGCTCCGGACTGCTTCGCCAACTCGAGCGGCATTGCTCTATCGGACTTGGAGCGGTCAATCAAGGAGTCGGTATTGAAGGCGCTGCCGTCTCTGAACTGCCACAGGTGCCTCTCGGGGACGCTCTCCCAAACATTGGCGCCCCAGCCGCTGGAGGCTGCAGCCCGGACATTAAGTGCATCGGCAAAACGCTCGCTGCTCTTGCGCTTGCGCGCCAGCACCCGGCAAGACGGCAGCGCCACGTGCCCCCAGCGATTCACGCCGTTTGAGAAGTGGCGCGGGCAGTGAAACTTCTGGGGCATAGTAGTTTTGCCGAAGACCGCGTGGTAGGACATCAACAACTGATGAACAGTTTCGCTCACCTTATCCGAGTCTGCCTATCGCCTGGATGCCCGTGGAATCTCCCCCGCCAAGATCGCGCGCGCTTCGAAAACTGCGAAGGCCGAACGCGCCGGCGCTGCAGCGCCACGGGCAACATCCCTGAAGAAACGCGACAATCCG